CTAAGCCGGGGGCCCCCTCTGCACCCCGGCGGGGCGTTCCTGGCTTTACAGGCCTCGCGGTCCAGGGGCAGACCGGCTGAAGGCCCGGCCCTGCGTAAAGTTTATTTTTCCTCGCTCCCGGGAACCGCTTGTCGGCTGAAGCAACTCCAGCCAGGTCTTCGGGATCCGTGCCTGCGTTTCTTTACCCGCTGAGGAGCCTCCCCCTTTCCCAACCCAAAACGTGTGCACAAAACACACACTCGTGCTCCAGCTGGGTGCAAACGGGGGGCGTGCTGTGCTTTGTCTCCTACTTGACGCCCCGTAAGATCTGGACAAGAGTTTTTATTTGCTGCGACAGATTACGGTTTATGTGGCTCACCCCCTCCGCCCTGGGTTTGCACAGCACCATAAACCAGGTTTGCACACAGCGGCTGGGTAAAATGCCTCGTTTGCAGATGGGGGCCTGGGGCTCATCTCTGTCTTGCCACAAGGAGCAGGAATGCTTCCGGGGGGCGGGGGGGGCAAGGTGCACCAGCAGCTGAGTTGAAGGTAGAGGTTCAAAGGCAGCCGCTCTCCTGAGCATTTTGCATCTTATAACAGGGAGACAAGCTGTAACCGTAGAGTAAGAGGTAATTTTGCAACTGCACTTATATTTGCTGCGAAGGAAACTGGAAGCCGCTTCTCTTTCTTTTCATTCTTCCTTTTTGCACTTTTTGTCTGTTTCTCTCCTTTTTTCCTTTCGTTACTGTACTTAGTTCTTGTTAGTTTTTATCTTCTTTTCAAGACTCTTAACAAAAAAAATCTAGAAAAAAGCACCGTTACCGTTAGGTGTAAACAACTCCAGAGGGACAGGAGCAGGTGAGGCACGAAAGGACGACCCCAGAAACAGGGGTCTGGGACCACCGCCCTGCCTCGCCCACCCTCGGACGGGTCCCCAGAGCCCCTCGAAGGGGCGCAACGAGTGAGGCGCAGACGCTCTGGAGCTCCAGTTTGGTGCAGCTTTTAATGGCAGGATCCTGAAAAGGGGGCATCGCTCTTTTCATCTGAACAGCTGCTAGGTCCTAATACGGGGGGG